CAATTGCACTCATCAATTTTCCCGCCAAAAATTCTGATCGTATGGCTAAGATTACTTGGATACACATGGCACATCCACATTAAATCTAAACCAGAAACATATACATGCACTTATGGACAAAAGTGTACTGACAAACAACTGATACTGCCACTGCCTGAATTACAACACTGCCCCAATTTCATAATAGCTTCAGCCCAATGAATCAGTCACTGCCCCAATTTAATTTCTTTGAATCTTCAGAATTATCACTTGAGGCGTTCCTCCAATATCAGGATATGCCATCTCAAAAGCCATTTCAAAATCAGAAAAAATCAATGTGTAATGCCCATTTCAAAGCTACTGCAAAGAGGCTCAGATATTCACTATATATATATATTCATTACAAGGAAATAGAATAAATACGCCATGGCTGCTTCTGGCCGAGCAGATAACCACGCCAAGTTACGTATTACTTCCTTAATTTCACTAATCAAAATAAAAAAAACTTTTTAAAGCAATCATCACAGCCTCTTTGTTATTCACATTATTCCAGCATCACAGACAACCCAGGGAAAAATACAATCAAAAGTGTCCAAAAATCCTGATATCATGAGCTTACTGACCTAGGGCAAGAGAGTATCCTCTAAGCATTTCAAATGATGTAATAAAAAGGGCCTCACAACCAAAATTTTACTACTATGAACGTTTGAAATGAGCATTATGTAATTCCAGTATAAGGCCCACACATAAAAGCTGATGGAGAAATCAGTTTCCATTGGAGAAATGTACAATCAGAAAAAAACAGAAAAACCAATCTTTTTCAGAGTTATAGCAGTCTGCCTAAGAGAAATATACAATCAGAAAAAAACAAATCACAGGTATATTTTTCAGAATTGTAGCAGTGTGTTAAGTGCAGAAATATATACAATCACTCCTTGACAAAACCAAGGTATCATTTTCAGTACATGGCATCTAATCCACTATATAAAACCAAGCCAGAGTAGTTCACAAATGCCCATTTCGATGAGGTATTATAAAGAGGCTCAGATTTTCACTATTTAAATACTCATTACAAGGAAAAAGTTTGATATAACGTCATGGCTGCTTCTGGCTATGCCGTAGCCACGCCAAGATATGTTTTATTTCCTTAATTTCAAAAACCAAAAATGGTAAAACATATAAAATAAATCATCACAGCCTCATAATTTTTCAAAGTATACCATTTTAGGGGCAGAATTTTACAGAGTATAGCATTGCCTTATAAAGAGGATGAAATCAATAAAGTGGAAAAGCTATAACTATCTTTATAAGGGCAGAATTAGAGGATAATGTATTGTCGGGAAGATTACCATTTGAAGCTTATATAAAGAAGCTCAGATATTCACTATTTAGATAATCATTTTAAGAAAAAGGTTATGATAACGCCATAGCTGCTCCTGCCATCCATGGAGCCACGTCAAGATACAGATCAATTTCCTTAATTTCAGTATGCTCATTAAGAGTAAATATATAGTGTATCATCATAGCCTCAAAAGTCTACAACTAAATCCAGCTTCATACCCATAGTATACCATTGCTGCAAAAATACATTAAAATCACTTAATTACAAGACAAAGAATGTAACTTGGTCCCATTAGCACATGTCAATTACCCATTACAAGTGGTAAACACCAAATCAGTCTGTTCCAGCATGGAAACTGCCCATGTATAGCATTGGATTCCTGCTATATATACCCTTCCACTCTTACACACTACACATCCCTAAACCTTACTTTCTTAGCCTAAAACCTTACTTTCTGTAAAGGCCATGGTGTAGTTTTGAGGTATGAATAATA